GAGCTAGTTCCAAGTCTTTGCTATTGTGAACAGTGCCACAATAAACATACATGTGCATGTGTCTTTATAATAGAATGATTTATAATTCTTTGGGTATATAGCCAATAATGGGATCGCTGGGTCAAATGGTATTTCTAGTTCTAGATCCTTGAGGAATTGCCACACTGTCTTCCACAATGGTTGAACTAATTTACACTCCCACCAACAGTATAAAAGTTTTCCTATTTCTCCACATCCTCTCCAGCAACTGTTGTCTCCAGATTTTTTAATGATTGCCATTCTAACTGGAGTGAGATGGTATTTCAATGTGGTTTTGATTTGCATTTCTCTAATGACCAGTGATGATGGGCTTTTTTTTTATATGTTTGTTGGCTGCATAAATGTCTTCTTTTGAGAAGTGTCTGTTCATATTCTTTGCCCACTTTTTGATGGTTTTTTTTTTTCTTGTACATTTCTTTAAGTTCTTTGTAGATTCTGGATACTAGCCCTTTGTCAGATGGGTAGATTGCAAAAATTTTTTCCCATTCTGTTGGTTGCTAGTTCACTCTAATGACAGTTTCTTTTGCTGTGCAGGAGCTCTTTAATCAGATCCCATTTGTCTATTTTGGCTTTCGTTGCCAATGCTTTTGGTGTTTTAGTCATGAAGTCCTTGCCCATGCCTATGTCCTGAATGGTATTGCCTTTGTTTTCTTCTAGGGTTTTTATGGTGTTAGGTCTTACATTTAAATCTTTAATCCACCTTCAGTTAATTTTTGTATAAGGTGTAAGGAGGGATCCAGTTTCAGCTTTCTTCATATGGCTAGCCAGTTTTCCCAGCACCACTTATTAAATAGATAATCCTTTCCACATTGCTTGTTTTTGTCAGGTTTGTCAAAGATCAGATGGTTGTAGGTGTGTGGTGTTATTTCTGAGGCCTCTGTTCTGTTCCATTGGTCTAGATATCTATTTTGGTAATAGTATCATGCTATATTGGTTACTGTAGCCTTATACTATAGTTTGAAGTCAGGTAGTGTGATGCCTCCAGCCTTTTTTTTTTTTTTTTTTTTTTTTT